TGGGTTTTTTTTGCTACTTGCAGCATATCAGGTTTAAGGGAATTCGGACTACTTGTCCTTTCTCCGTCCGATCCAGTCGGTAAAACTTTGTTCAGGAACGGTCTCTACGCCATATATTACGCGGTCAAATTCTTAAATTTGAATGACATACCAATTAGTACCGGGAGACGGTTATGGGACAGGAAAATGAGCAAATGTATGACTCTTGTGAGTATACCAAGCTTAACGGTAGATTACCGGATTATGATGAAGTTGCAGAGAACAGTATTTACCCTGGAGAAGCCTTAAGAGCATGACCATGCTGGCATTGAGCTTTGGAGGAATAACAGCGCCCATCACTGTGCCTGGGTTCACCACCACCACATCCAAGTCTTTCTCTTTAACAAACTCCCAGGCCGCCTTCTCCGCCAGCGTTTTCGACATCGGATACCACAGCTATTATAAACAAACAACACATTGTGCCACCAAAAAGAGAACACAAAAATCAGGCGAATTGGCATTAGCGTTTTCTGTGGCAACAAAACAAAACAATAATCTAATCTCAAAATTTTGAGATGAAACAAAAACAAGCACCACTCACTTCCTTCTGCTTGCAGTAGTCAAGGTCGGTCCAGGAATCCTCATCCCTCACCTTGTCGGCCGGCCAGCGAGGGCTGGGGAACATGGCGGAGATGGAAGACGTGACCACCACGCGCCCAACCCCGGCCTCCTTCGCGGCCGTCAGAACGTTAATTGTTCCTTTAATCGCCGGGTCCAGCACTTCCTTCTGTTGAAGTTAAACAATTTCAATTCACAGAGAACTTGAATAAAATAAAATAAAAAAACAGAAAAACAAAAATGAGATATTGCTAGGGAGGAAGGGGACCCACCTCGGGCTCGTGGACCTTGTCGACGGTGCAGGGGGACGCCAGGTGGAAGACGCCGGCGCAGCCGCGGACGGCGGTGGCGATGGAGTCGTAGTCTAGGAGATCGATCTGGAAGAGACGGAGGCGCCCCTCCGCTCCTTCTAGGGCTTCTAGATGCTTCGTTTCGCTCTCGTCCTCTGCAAAAGACAAGATTTTTCGTTCATAAAGCTTCTTAACAATGGCGAAAATAGAAGAAAGCGAAGTAGTAGAAGAAGAAGAAGAAGAAAGGAGTAACTGAGATCTTTGACGGTGGCGTTAATGGAGTAACCGCGGTCGAGGAGGAGGCGGACGACCCACGAGCCGATGCAGCCGCTGGCGCCGGTGACGCACACTAGCTCGCCCTGATTCGACATTATTATTATTATTGTAATTATTTTCACTCTATCTTCTTCTTCTGGGTTGTTTTGTCTGACGTACAGTCTAAAGTTGATGGAGTGCCTCTTTGAATAAGGCCCATTTTTACGACAGATTTTTTCGGAATGTATGACACGAATTGACACCTGCGTGGGGTCCGTTGTATTACGAGAAAGCAATGATATACGGGTGTCAGGGTGTGGCAATCCGGCATCCACCACGCTAAATGGCGAATATATTTCATATTTGTTATTTAGCGTAATGCTGTTGAGTCAAAAAAAAAAAAAAAAAAAA